TGAATACTTGCTTAGAACGCTATAAAAACAGATATTGGTACTAATAGGGTACATGCCGAGCTAGTGTTTTTCCCATGCTGATAAACTTCCGGTGACCTGTTTTTGCGAATTTTTTCCATTTTATACGGTTCCTTTTACAGCATCGATGTTGTAATGTCATTAAAAAACATTCAGTTAAATAAACTCTGGCATTCATTTAGTTGCTCAAGCGTAAAACGAGACAAAAAGCCGTTTACTCGCACGCGCCCGTCAGAATCGGCAGGCTAGCGCAGAAGCTCTATTGAATATACTGGGGTAAAATAAACGCTCATATTACAAAGACATGGCGGGGGGATATGTAATTTAATGCAGTGCTTCATGTACAATCTGAGACCCACTTTATATTGGATATCACTCAGCTAAAGGAGATCGCTGATTTTGAAAGAAAACAGCCCTTAAACGCGCCGGATTTTCCATTGCATACAGTTCGCCGGAAGCGCTTAACCCAGGTTACTGGCAAATTAAAAGTCCCATTAGCATGCTTCGGCATATACCCTATTGCTCCTTTTGTAAGCAAAACCTGGAGTTCCTAGTTCATTTATATTGGCAATGCAGTTATTCTAATCTGCTTTGGAAAGATTTTTGTAATTGACAATGTTGATAAAGACTTTTCCTTTCTATGAAAAAAGTTTTGTTTGGTTTTGTTAATTATAAAACGGAACCTTTACATAAAATAAAAATATATTTCCTTAATTTTCATATCGTATTAACTAAATTTCATATACATTAATGTAAATTTACAAACCTTTTACATTAACATATAGCTAAAAAAACACACACACACACACACACACACACACACATATATATATATATATATATATATATATATATATATATATACTTCATATATATTGCATACTGAAATGTAGTATTACTTTGAAACTATAACTCTTTTACAAAAAAGTCTGAAAACAGCTGAAATGTATAAATTTTTTAATCTTTTTTTTAATCTTTTGTGTTTGCTTTTGTTTTCTTTTTTATGTTTTTCTTTTATAATGTACTGTGATTGTATTTTCCCACAAATGAAAATAAATGTAACAAATCTTCTGACTAATCAAATGCTCTACATTATCTGCCATGCTCTGTCCTCATCAAGATGCTTCTCATTTGCTTTTCATTTGATGCGCTTGAACTCAAACACTCTCATTAGCAGAGCTGTGATAAACCAAAATGCTACTGGCTGTTTTTTTTTTTTTTTTTTTTTTTTTAAGGAGAGGAGCTACTATACCGCGCCCTCATTTCATGTTTCAGTTGAGATTACGTCAAACATGGAATTAAAAAAAACGCACATTTCAAAGCACTTCACAAGACCTTTTAGTACTTGAATTAATCAGTATGCAAATATTTTTTTTTAAATAGTTTCAAATTTTACATCACTTTTCTATAGATCAGTGATAGCACAGGCATTGCCGACAAAGAGTTTGTGTTTGTGTGCATGGAAATGTATTATCCTCCCTCCCTGTTAAATTTGATCTAATCCGTGTCCAGAAACACAGTGATTCAGCGAGGGAGCGATTAGTTTGTGAATGAAACTTCGTTATGAACGTCTTGAGCACTGTACAAAGGTGGCGACAGTTTTGATGCATGCTCTGGATCTATATGCAATAACTAGTGAACAGGGGCGGACTAAACGTCATATATAGATACATTTCTTAATAAATACTGGCTATAAATTAAAAGCATTAACGTATGTTATGTTTTTTTGTTTTCTCAAGCTTTGGCGACGTAACATTTTAAATAATAGATCAACTATAGCTTTCATCATGAGCCACGGCTGTGTTCAAAATGATATCAGTGTTTTCAAAGTGCACTGCGAATTGAGTGCAATTGTAAACATAAGGATCACTAAAACTGAACTGTAAAATACTTTGAAAGCAAATTACACCTAAGAAGATGACTTTATTGTATTTTTAAAATAATTCCAAAATTTAATTGTTAGGTCCTGCAATCCTTTTGCCTTCCTGAGTGAGTCAAGGCCCAAAACAGAAAAGTACGGCATGTTTTCCCATCTTTTTTATTTTCTTAGTCGTTTTTGCCCCAGTGTTTTCTTTTCCTTTCCCTCATGTTTCCCATGGATTCAATTTTCACCCCCGAATTCCTCATCCTCATGTTGAAGAAGGGGAAAGCAGCCTCGAGGATCATGCAGACAGATTCCTGTTTCTAGATAAACGATCCTGCGAAGTCATACCCCTTCCGCTGTTTCCAGACAACAAATGTTTGATTCCAAGTTCCAAGGAGCTGTTTCCAGACAGCATTTCAGCCCTGTTGATTCCTGAAGACGATAGCTCCAGGGTCATGAGCAGCATCCCACCCAACCCACCTTCTTCATTTCCACTGATGTCATCATCCACAGCCATTCAGCCCACTTCAGCACTGCTACAGTCAGCCAGTCCAACAGCTCACCCTCCAGCTTCAAGGGGTCCCACCGAGGGTCTGCCTATCTGCTTTGCCATTCAGAGGTTGTCGCCCAACATCATCTCCTCCACCCTCCGAGCTCTGGACTCCTCCTCGGCCCACCAACCCAACGACTCCACATTGGCTCTCTCCTCCCTCGTTTCCTCCGTGGACTGTCAGCCCACTGGCTCCACCAGGCTCCCTCCAGCTCTGGACTCTGCTCCTCTGGCTGCGCCTCATCCCTTTATCCTGCCAGCTTCATTGAGCTCCTTCTTTCCTCCAGCTATGCCTCAGTCTTCTGTCGCTCTGGCTCTGCCGCAGGTTTCCACACCTGCGTCGTCGCTTGTGTTTTGTTCAGTCCTTCATCCGGTATTCTCAGTTGCGCTTTGTTGTCACTCCATGTTATTCCTGTGTCTCCTATGTTATCGATGTCCTTCCAAGTAAGGGTTTGTAAATAAATCTACGTGTTAATAAATCCTGCGATCCTTTTGCCTTCCTGAGTGAGTCAAGGGGTTAGACTGATACTGTAATTGTAATGTTTATTAACTGCTAAAAAGAGAGTTTAATAAAGACCTCCGTTTATTTTAGCCATAGTGCAAATAAAACGTCTCATATATCAGTATTAATAACAGATGGAGCACAGACTGCAGTTTTTCTGACAAATAGTTTCGACTGAAATTGCACATGCAACTCTGAGAGGAGAATTGGCGGAGATCATACACTTTTATATGTGGCTGTTTATTCTGCAGTTAGTTTTCAGGGCATAATATTCACAGACTATATCAGTCTGCTATAACGTTAGACTGTGCTTTAAAGCGGGAAAAACACAAGCATTAACGATGGACTCATCCACCATTTTTTTGCTGCCAATATCCTCACTTGTGTGTGTCACCACACACCTTATTCCCCTGTGCAGCTTTTGGTGCTGCTACATCTGAACACAGCTATAGCCTCTCACATGACAGCGAGGAAAAGCTCAGCCAATGTGTTTGGGGGCGGCGCGACTCGAGGAAGGACAAGATTTAATGCTTTCTGCATGTCCAGATTAATAACAGTGCGATTTTTATTTATTTATTATTATTATTTTTAAGTTAATTACTGGTGGGGACATTTGGTAGATATCAGTGGAGATGTGTCCCCTTCATCCATGCTAACTACCTTTATTTGACAGTAATATGTTCCTGTAAATGTCATTACTGTGAAAAGGAACAAAAGTTTTTGTCATCATACTGCCCCCTACTGTTCATTTTACCTACAAACTGAAGTCTGACATGTTTAAGTATGTTTTTGCGGTTTTACAAAAATGTACACTGAAGCACAAATTTTCAATGAGTATGTGTTGCGTTTGTTATTTTGCACAGCCCCAGTGTAAAGATCAAGATCTTTTTGTTTCACTATCATCCACAGCAAAGCACAAAACAAACCCTTCCTAACGTTTTATTCAGTGAAGACTGAAAAAACTGAAGGAACTGGGTGTCATTCAGTGAAGAGACACACTGTTTATATACTGTACCATTTACCAAACCCTCAGACAGTGATAATTTATTTACCAAAGGATGGCCGGGGTGGGAGTAGAATTTCCCATCCTGAAGTTAAGTCCAACGCTGGTCGTTAATAGTGTGCAACTGCACAATCTACAGCAATAACAGTATACCGCAAATATCTCCAGCATGAGGAAACAGAGCTAAAATCCTCCATAGTTCACACCTCTTCCCTCAGGCAGACACAACTGATTTCTTTGCAATGCCCTTAAGAAACACAAGTTTAGTCACGTATTAGACAAGCAAACTACTAGTATACTCGTAATGAAAAAGCCTAATTGTGGACTTTAAGTTTACTACTGTTACACTCATAGTATTCATTTTGGTCCAATTTAGTCCCAAGCAGTTTTCAAGTAGAAAACACAAGCATATTACAGTACTTGTAGTACACGGCTGTTAGTGTACTTCATGTGCTAGTGTACTACATGAAGGTGTAATACTTAAATGTGCTTCATGACAAGATTCTCCTTTTTTTGTAAGGGCTAGATCAGGGATGTCCAAACTCTGTCCTGTGTCCGGTGTGCTGCAAAGTTTAGTTGTAAACCCAAGCAGACACACTTGGGCTAGCTAATCAAGCTCTTACTAGGCTTTCTAGAAACATCCATGCAGGTCAGGTGGAGCTAAAATCTACAGGACACCGGCCCTCCAGGACCAAGTTTGGCCACTTCTGGTCTAGAACATCTTAGATAAAAACCTTTTTTCCTCTCAGGCCACACCCACCTTAAATAACAAACACTTCAGTTGCTGTTTGTTTGTTTTTTTGTTTTTTTTTGTTTGTTTGAGAGCCTCAATCTGGATTGTCGTGTCTGACAATGTTGCTCTCTTCTGTAAGTTAATCTTCGCAATGTTTGGTTATGAATTAAATTCACAATATGTCATGAGTGTTTCTAATAAATGTTCTTGATGTTTTGTGGGTTCAGAAAGATGAGAGCAAGTTCGTGTGAATGTAATCTGAAAAATATCTCGTCTGACCTGTTTTAACCAACTGAAGATGATCAACAAACTCCACCCTGTTACCAAACTCACACACAAAAGACTGATTTCCTTCTCTCGTCTGTAGAGCTTTCACTTTGTCTCGATGTAAATCTGATTGGAGAACAACCAGAAACTTTTTAAGAACCATTTTGGAGAAATTTTTAGAGTCAGAGTGAAGATTTAATTGCTTAAACTCTTGACAGCAGTGAAGATGGATTCAGCGTCAGCAGAAGATCTTACATGTCCTGTGTGTAAAGAAGTCTTCAAGGATCTTTTTGTTTTAACATGTAAACACAAATACTGTACAGAGTGTCTTCGATCATTCTGGAGAGACACAGAAACAAAGTGGTGTCCTTTGTGCAGTAGAAGATCCTCACAAGGGCTTCCTCCACATATGTGCATTTTACACAGAGAGAAACCCCAGCTCTACTGTGTGGAGGACCAACAGTTCGTGTGTTTAACATGTGTTAACTCTGAAGAACACACCAATCACACATTCAAATCCATCAGAGGAGCCATTTCATCATATAAGGTAAGTCAGACATCTTGTTTCATATTTAATGAACTATCAATAGTAATAAACACAGATATTATAACATGTACGCATCCAACATTTCTGTCATTTTGTCCAGCTTAATATCACATATGTAAGGAATAATCATGGCTAGACTAAACAATTCAAATGCACAATATGGAGGCAAAGAAACACAGACTTCATTTAGCTTCAGTGCACAGCGAGCCGTCTAGATTATCTTCTGTAAATGACTGTCAGTTAAAGCTGTCACTAATGTTTGACAAGAATGGGAGAAATAATTACTATTCTTATGGTGTTGTGGCTCTAGCATTCATTTGTATTTGAATCAAGAAAAAGTGTGTTTATGTATAAAATGGGTGTGTTTTTTACCCCTTTTGGTTGAGAAATCTTTTTAATAAACTTGTGTTCATCATTCCTGAAGGAGACAAAAGAGAGAAGTTCATCAGAGTCAGAGGAGATCTGCAGTTTACATGATAAGAAACTCCAGCTCTTCTGTCAGGAAGATGAACAGCCTGTGTGTGTAGAGTGTGTTTATGCTGAAACACACACCAATCACACATTTAAATCTGCCAGTGAAGCTGCTTCAACATTTGAGGCAAGTCATTTCTTTTGTTTTTGTTTTTAAAGCCTATAAATGATAATAAACTAAAATTTACTACAAAACTGAAAAAAAAAACTATTTATGCAGCCTATATTGGCATTTTATTCACCTTAAAATAACATTTGTCAAGAATAATCTATGGCTTGATTCAAAGCACAAAATGGAGGCAAAGAAATGTCAAATACATATTCCTTGTGTAAATCACTATCGTTTTACAGCATTGATATGTTAATCAGTCACTGATATTTGTCACAATATTTGACTAGAATTGGGACAATGATGGCTATATACCTTCATTTATGGTTCTATCATTCTCTTTAATTAAAATCAAACACACAGACCAAAATATTGATTTATAATTGATGTATAAAAATTGTGTTTTTTACCTATTTTGCCTAAGAAATCTTACATTATAAAAACTTGTGTTCATCATTCCTGAAAAAGAGGAAAGAGAGAAGTTTCACCACGGTCTGAGGAGATCTGCAGTTTACACAATCTGAAACTCACACTTTACTGTGAGAACAAACAACTTGTGTGTTTAGAGTGTGTTACCTCTGAAAAACACACCAATCACACAGTCAAACACATTAGTGAAGTTGCTTCATCACATAAGATAGGTCAGACATCTTGTTTCATATTTAAAGAAACATCAACAGTAAAAAAATCATTATGACAAGCTTAATATCACATTTGTAAGAGATCATCATGACTAGCTTAAACAATTAAAACATGCAGAATGTGGAGGCAAAGAAGCTGACAAGGAGACCTCAGAGCACATCTAGCCGCAAACTGTAAAACACCAGAAGTTAATAGAGCTTGATCAGTCCATTTAAGGAAACCTCGCACCACTTAAGTTAAGTTAAATTTAAAAGTTAAAGTAAAGTTAATTAAGTGATTTAGTGTTGATTCAGTAGAATCACTGAATAATCTTATATGAAATCAACCGAAATGAAACATTAAATCTCTCAAAATCTCATCAGAGGATCAATAAACAACTCAAAAACAGCATCAGCAGGTTCTCTTATTACTGATCTGTTTGACTTTATCTCTGTCAGACTTCTACAAAACACACACTGCTGCATTTAGCATATTACCACTGAGACACATCTGCTGATTCTTGATGCTTGTGTGTTTAAAGAGGTTCTGATGTTTATTTTGTTTTCAAACATTGCCTGGTTTGATTCTGAACAACCACAAGATTATTATGGTTATTGATATTATCAGTAAAGTGAAAGCATGACCATAATATTAATATAATGTGAAGTCAGTCTACATCAGGGATCACCAACCTTGTTCCTGAAGGCCTGGAGTCCTGCAGAGTTCAGCTCCAACCCTAGTTAAGGTCTTACTAAGGTAAGTTTGAAACCTCCAGGCAGGAGTGTTGTGGCAAGTTGATGCTAAACTCTGCAGGGACATCAGCCCACAGGACCAAAACTGGTGACCCCTGCACTACTGAAGTCAGTGGTAGTTTAATGTTTCTCTTTAACACATCTCTCTTCTTCCTGCAGTAGGTGTTTTATTCTTGTCTTTTATTTTCAATTCCAGGAGAAACTCAAAACAGAAATAAAGACATTAGAAGAGAATCGTAAACACAAAGAAAACATTAAAGGAGAGTTTGAGGAATCAGCTAAACACATCAAGGTGAGCAAACTGAACATCTCAACATGCATGATTGTAAAGTTTGGGATAAAGTACATCCAGAAGGTTCTTATCATAGAATAAAGACCAACAGGCTTATCGGCACCCCGACACGGACCAGAGCATTGTTGTATATGACTAAAGGGCTTTAATCCGCAAAAACAATTATCCTGAAGGTACTTTATCCCAATTATTACACAGCTACTTGACAAAAATTAAACAACATATTGTTCTGAGCTATACTAGTTTATGCATTTTTTATTTATATCTATTTTATTTATATATATATATATATATATATATATATATATATATATATATATATATATATATATATAGGGCTCGAAATTAACTTTTTTACTTGGTAGCACCGGTGCTCCCAACTTCAAATATTTAGGAACACCAAAAAATTTTTAGGAGCACCAGAAAAAATTTAGGAGCACCCACCAAAAATAAATGAGCACCGTTGCAAATTGTTTTTTAATGGATTTATTGTATTTTAAAACAACCTTAATAGGACTGACAAAAACCAGAAACAACTATCTAACTAATGCTGCGAAGACATTAATATTTGTGTGCAATAATTCCAAAATGAATGTCTAATAATTAGGCCATAGAATATTAAAGAGCCCATATTATACATGAAATAGGGTCATATCTTGGTTGTAAGGGTCTCCAACAACAGTTTAATATGCATGCAAGGTCAAAAAAACACTTTCATGGTCTTATAATCTGCATTTATTTTTACCTAATTATCCCAGCGACTCCCGTATGAATCGTCCAGTGATTCATTTGTTCCCAAACCCCTCCTTAGCGCGAAGCTAATCTGCGCTGATTGGACCAATGACAGCCTGTTGCGATTGGTCGACTGCCTTCAGTCAGAGAGTGAAATGGCCAATAGCTAATCAGCAATATAAAAAGTAACACAGTTCATACACGCTCGATAGTGTAGGCGTGGATTTTAGCTGCCACACACACACAAAAACACACACACACACCTCCGGACGACAACGCTCCCGCTTCCGCCCGCACCCGCCAGGTTTTAGCCTGAGAACCCGCCCCGTTTTCTGCCCGCCGCGCCCGATCCCGCTAGAGCGGGGGACCAAAAATCACCCAGTATACAGTCCAGACAGCCAAGCTGTCTGTATAAACACAGCACCAAGCACACAAAGCTCGCTCTCTCTCTCTCTCTCTCTCTCTCTCTCTCTCTCTCTCTCTCTCTCTCTCTCTCTCATACGCGCGCGTGCGCACTAACACACACACACAAGCACCAAGCAGACACATCTTTCTCATTCGCATAGCAATATCCGTGATATTGCTAGACAGCCCGCTCCCGTCCCAAATTAAACCCGTTACCGACCGCTCCCGCGATATATTCAGAAATTTATTACAGCCGCGGGAATGCAGAACTCTACCACGGAGCTCCGTAAACAAAGCAGCACGCGTCGCGTTTTTAACGTGACTTTGCACGCGATTAGAGAATATAGCCAGTTAACCTGATACTGTACACTCGGTTACAAGTAACAAATCACAACTAAATACATTTGCAAGCTAGAATAAACGAGGCAACAACTTTAACCGCACGTACTTACACTTGAGAAAGGTAGGAAGAAACCCATCCTGACGTCCATCAGTTACTCTTTACTGATCCTTCCTTTAACAAACTCAGATGAAGTATTCTTTGTAGCATGTAGCTTCCAGAAGTTTCCAGTAGTTTCCAACTGCTTGGCTATAATGCTGAGGTTTCATCTTTGGGTAGAGACTCAATATATCCATCTGCAGTGTGACTTCAATCGACCTGCATGTTTGTGTGTGTGTGTGTGTGTGTGTGTGTGTGTGTGTGTGTGTTTGTGGGTGTGTGTGTGTGTGTGTGTGTGTGTGTGTGTCTGGGTTTCTGTGTCAGAGGGCGGGGCCTCAGGTTTGAAATCTCCCGGGTTTGCGCGTGCACGTGAATAACTTGGTTTCGTTCGTACGTCAACGGCGAAACACCTAATGAATCGGTATCAAGGCGATTCGTTTGAAGCACTATGAGTCGACTCTTTTATAGATGAATCAACAGTTTTAAACACTGTATTCTTACAGATTTAAGCCTTAGCTGGATACTTCACTTCACTTAGAGCTGTGTTACACACTACATGGAGGGGAATTTTCAAAAACCCATAATACGGGCTCTTTAATGATGATAAAAAATGACCATAATAGTAACAATGAATTCCATTTCTCATTATGATACTGCCTTGAATGTGCATGAATGTAGGTTATCTGCTATAAAAAAATCTGTTACTTAATGAAAAATAATTGTATAGTTTGCATCAAACAAAAATGAAGCATTGCAGTAAGAAATATTTATTTTGTACTGCTGTTTTTATATGCATGTCAATTTAATAAATAATATTTCTGCAACAAAACAAACAAAAGATTATAATAAATCATTAAAGCAGTCATCAAAAAATAAAAATAATATACACCTTAAAAAAAGAATAGACAAAAGAAAGTAAGTAAAGTCTCACTTCTATCACTCTTTAAAAGTTTTGGTTTCAGTTTGTGTCAATTTAAAGGTTCAGTCTGAGCTGATCTTCATTTTTCTGTGTTAGGGGAAAAGCTGGTGATTCAGCTGACCCAATTCATGAGCAGGCAGAGCGGGATTCTTGCGCTAACCATCGGCGCAATACCGTTCGTTGTTATGAGCCGCAGTTTCAGTGTAAACTTAGTAAAGGCGAGCTTCTTTGGCGATGATATGTACAGTATTAGATTTGACTTTTAGCGGACATTTGCGCTGAACACGCAGTGAATGCAACGCATGGAGTTTCGGGCACCTTCGCCAAGAAGCGCGTACTCGATTGATCTCCTTAGTCCTGTTGGTTGGGACACTCTGCTTTATAACTTATTAGTTTATTACAATAATCACACTTAGCTTTGCCATCGTTCTTCACCATATGTAGCCACTCAGCACATCTTGCGGTCCATCTTTAAACAAATGTTTAGATTAAAGGTGCTCTCCAGCGGCGAAGTTCCGGGCAGAGTAGCGAGTGAAAAAATGTGCATGCAGAAATTGGACAAGAGGAATCAAATTTTAAATTATATAACAAGTATCCAATTCTTAGTATCTAATCCTTGCCCAGTTTATTACAAGTTGTGTTTTGTTATGTTTGTGGCTGTGAAGTTTATTGAGAATATACAGTGTAAAGTCAGAATTATTAGCCCCCCTGTATTATGAGCGTCCCTGTTTAATTTTTCCCCAATTTCTGATTAATGGAGGGAAGATTGTTTCAGCACATTTATAAGCATAATAGTTTTAAAAACTTATTTCTAATAACAGATTGATTTTGTCTTTGTCATGATGACAGTAAATAATATTTTACCTGATATTTTTCAAGACACTTCTATACAGCTTAAAGTGATATTTAGGGGCTTAACTAGGTTAATAAGGTGATTTAGGCAGGTTAGGGTAATTAGGGAAATTATTGTATAAAGATGGTTTGTTCTGTAGAATATCGAAAAAATATATAGCTTAAAGGGGCTAATAATTTTGTCCCAAAATTGGTTTTTAAAAAAATAATTTCTACTTTTATTCTAGCCGAAATAAAACAAATAAGACTTTCTCACGAAGAAAAAATATTATCAGACAAACTGAAAATTTCCTTGCTCTGTTAAACATCATTTGGGAAATATTTAAAAAAAAGAAAATAAAAATCAAAAGGGGGCTAATAATTCTGTCTTCAACTGTATATATTGAGATACTGAGCCATTACAAGTTAAAAAAAAATAAAAATAAATTTAAAAATTATTTTAAAGAAGAACAGACGTTTTGAGTAAAAAAAAACAAACAAAACTGAAACTAAAATATAAAAAATAAACTTGTAGGACTTAATTTATGTCCTGCGGCAACATTATTTTTATTATACTTTAAAGGGCACCTATGGTAAAAAATCAACTGTTCAAACTGTTCAAGCTGTTTGGACAGATCTGTGTGTTGGTATAGTGTATAAACCGTCATACTGGGGTGATATGAACACACCCAGTCCTTTTTTTTACAATTTAACTACAAAAAAAAGGGGCGGCCAATTGGAGCTGTTTTCAAATCGATTGCACCATTACGTAGGTGTGCGATCCCCCCGCCCACTGAATTGATTGACAGCTGCGCGCATTAACATGTTCCGGTAGTCGCGTGTATATGTCAACAAGACCAGACAGACATACGCAAAGCAACCGGGAATAAAAGCTCTGTTCTGTTCGCTAGGATCAGCAATCATCATCAAATGTGATTAAGAGTAAGTTTCACATGTTTAAAGTGTTTTAAAACAGAGTATGTGTGTAATTAATTACAGCGTTTTACTTCAGCTTTACTTCATCAGCACAGCCGCGTGTCAGAACAATTATAAAAGAAGACGCTTCAATCCCGGTTTGTGGAAGTTAAATCAGGTTTATTTTGTACATTAGCATAACAGATATCCACACAGTACTTGAGGTTAGCCTTAACTAGGCTAAGCGCGCTCTGTCTGCCTGCCTGCCGGTGTGTGTGTGTATCATCTGTGGTGTGTGTGGGTTTGTGTGTGTGTGCGCGCGCACGCGCGCGCGTTAACTTTGTAACGATATTGTGTGTGACTCATCAATGCAACTTCACAATACTGATTAGTAAAGGTTAGTTCTTACTGTAGTATCTCACAAACGCTACGTGAGACCTTCTTCCTTTAAGTCTGTCTGTTGTCTCACGCAGCTGAGGGAGGAGGAGGCATGTAGAAATAGTGGGCGAGAAAGAAAAAGCTTAAAGGCGCAGTACGACAAAACCACCCCCTGCTGGAAATCAGTATAAAACAGCATCTTGTAAAAGGTATAATGAACAATCTGATGGGTATTTTGATCTGAAACTTTATATACACATTCTAGAGACGCAAAAGACTTATATTAAATCTGAAAAAAGGGGTAACCTAGGTGCCCTTTAAGTGATCTGCTTGAGGTAGGTCATGTTTATCAATGGTACGTTTTAGCCTAAGTTTACGTCAATAACATTATGTGCATTGTTAACAAATTTGAAATGATAATTAAAGGAATTATGATGCTTTGACTTATTGTTTAATCTCATTTACAAGCACAGTAGCATATTTAAAGCTGCTGTATAGGATATTTCTGTCCGTTCGCATCCCATCCCTTTGTGCCCCCTGGCGGCTCATTATTGAACTGCGGTCATACACTAAAAATAGAGCGGCATCAATTTCAAACAGCGGCTGTATATGCCCTGGCGGTAATAGTCACTTTGAACTCTCACCTACTGTATGTATTATTCTGTCACAATATGATGGAAAACAGTTAAAAACTGCAGCATGTCAGACAAGCAGATACATATGAATGTGGATGTAAGTATATGGATTTGAGCGTATTCACTGACAGTCAATGAGGTTCAAAGTTCCAGGATGATCCCGAGTTATTTAGAGGTTGTTATCTCAGAATATATTGCACAGTCACACAAAAACAAATAAATATGAAGAGACAAAACACAACAGTTAAGTGATTTAGTTCTCAAAAACCTGAATGTAATGAGAAGGGGCAGAACAACAGGAAATAAAGTTCACAACAAGGCCTCCACAGCAAAATGACCTCATTAAAATTTCCTCATACTCAGCAAAGGCAAACACACACCCACACCCTGCCTCAGGCACTTGGATTCTGCAACAAAATACACTAAGTTATATGCTGCTTCTAAGATGTCACTTCATCCATTAATTTTCTTTTCGGCTTAGTCGCTTTATTAATCAGGGGTCGCCACAGCGGAATGAACCGCCAACTTATCCAGCATATGTTTTACACAGCGGATGCCCTTCCAGCTGCAACCAATCTATGGGAAAAACCCATACACTCACATTCACACACATACACTATGGACAATTTAACTTACCCAATCCCCTATAGCTCATGTCCTTAGACTTGTGGGGGAAACCTCTCTGGTGCATCAGTGACCAAGACAGCAAGTCTTTGTGATTATCAAGAACCACGATATCCAGAGCAATCTCAGCAAACCACCAAAAAGAAGAACCACATCCAAAAGGAGTAACTAAAGGAACCTCTCTGAAAGGGATGTCCGGGTGCTAACCCAGTTTGTATCCAGAAATATAAAACCACAGCTCACCAACTCACTGCAGAATTAATAATTGCAGCTCAACCCTCTTGTTTCCACCAAAGCTGTTCATCAGGAGCTTCATAGGGTCAATATACATGACCGGGCTGCTATCGCCAAAGCTGTGGTCACTCATGCAAAAATCTTGGGCAGTGGACAACAAAAAACATGCATTGTTCTCTGATGAGTCCACCTTCACTGTCTTTCCCACATCTGGGAGACTTATGGTGTGCGTATAACCCAGACTGTTGCATGCCCAGAGTGAAGCATGGAGGTGGATCAGTGATGGTTTAGGCTGCAATATCATGGCATTCCCTGGACTCAATACTAGTGCTATATGCGCACGTCAATGCCAAGAACTACCGAACCATTATGGAGGACCATGTGCACCCAATGGTTCAAACACTGAAGGCGGTGCAGTGTATCAGGATGAATATGCACCAATACACACAGCTAGACTGGTGCCAGAGAGGTTTGATGAACATGAAAGTGAAGCTGAACATCTCCCATGGCCTGCACAGTCACCAGGAAACATAGTCAAAAACCTTCTATTGGAGGAGAATCAAGAAAACCTTTTTTAAATGTTTGATGTATATTTTTTGTCTTTATGTGAGCTGATGTAATGATGTTTGTTGATTTAGCATCAATGTTGTTTCATTTAAAGTTTAAGGTCGACTACACACAGAAACAGATTGAACATCAGTTTGAGATGCTTCACCAGAAACTCGAAGAGGAAAAACAAGCAGCAATCGCTGCACTGAGGGAGGAAGAGGAGGAGATAATGAAGAAGACAGTGGAGGAGATCGAGAGTCAGATCTCAACACTTACAGATGCAATCAAAGACACAGAGGAGATGCTGAACGCCAGTGATGACTGCTTACTGAAGGTCTGATTCTAGATGAGTGATTGATTGATTGATTGATTGATTGATTGAGTTATTGATTGATTGATTGAGCTCTTGATGATCAGTTGTCTTTTTCTTCTGCAGGACGCTGATGTCTTTATAAGAAGGTGAGTGACCTGCTATTGTCTCTGCGCTCTGTGCTTCTGAAGCTAAAGTCACTGCAGTTCTGACTCCTGAATGTTCTTCCAGAGTCCAGATCTCTCAGCCGTATCCAGAACTGCCATCTGCAGCTTCAGTAAATGTGTCACGGTACTTGGGGAACCTGATGTCCAACATCAAGAAAAAGATGGAGGAGACGATTAATAACATTTTCCAGTACAGTAAGTCTACAGAACTTCTCTGATCTTGACTATACTGTCTTCATGATGCTAAACTGCTGGATTATTTTAGTCATCAATGAGTGAAAAACATACTTATTCTGGTATATAATGAATGACATCAATTAAACATAAACTTACCTTTCATCATCTACCAATCCAGCATCAGGACATAATAACAAACTCACATCTGTTCAACAGATTGTAGGGATAGTTTACAGTTTAACCCAAAGAATGACCAGTCTGGTAGATGAAGAAGAGCCGGAGTCAGAGATTTTTAAAAAATAAATTAAGTTTACTGAAGATAGTTTGCAGTTTCATTCGCAGAAGCCAGCTTCAACACTCTCAATGAGTTCCTAGGCCGCTCTGCTTATAGTTTCAACAATCGAACAATTATACTCTTTACACAAGTCCAGAAAGGGTGGGATCCAGGTAAACAGTTCTCATTGGTTACAACAGAAATAGACAATTCTAAATACATGCGTCAAAGAAACATAGTATCTACTTCCAGATATGGATGGCCTTAATGCGTGCGTCAAAGAAAGCATTGTATCTGTCTCCAGATATGGATGGCGACCTGATGCCTAGAGGTGAGGTTGCCCTAAGTTATTAGGAGCTGATCTCCGACCTGTAAAAAGCTAAACCAGGAACACAATAGACACAAAAGACCATCTGTGTTAAAGACTCAAGGATGTTTCTTGTATGTTCAGCTGTGTTATCAGGCTGGTTCAAGACTGTTTCCATCAACAGTCTGCTGCAATATATTTACTACACACAGTCTATCTCCACACAAAAAGGAGTTACATTAAAATTTATTATACTCAAAAACAGATCAATCAAACAGCTATAATATTATAGGCAATATCAGGACAACTAGAACAGGTGTCTTCTTCTCCTCTGTATGGGGAGAGAGAGAGAGAGATCTCCATGACCTATGACCTGGTTTGTGTGTCTCCAGAAAACAAAGTTAAAATAGACAGGCAAAAAGAGAAACAAGGACACAGAACATTCTTACAGTAAGCAGTTTTAACTTATTCATTAGTTAAAATCAATTCACAGTTAAATACTGAGAAACAGGATGATGAAAAGGATAAACGTTGGTCCATGATGAGACAGATTGGAAAGCAGAAATCCGAATCCTTCAAGATGTACTGAATGTCACGTTCTGAAATGCTTATAATAATCATATTGTTATTAGTAATTATTAGTTGGGCAAGTTACTGCAACATTATTATTGTTATTAACGTGTAAGCACATTTATTAAGTAAAGCAGGAGATTATTTTACTGCAAAATTACACACTTATTACTATTACTATTATCCTAAATGATGTTAGTCATCACACATCTCAACCAACAAGAGCATTTGAGGTCGGCCAAGACTGCCACAGTGCTCACATGAACTAAAAGCAAAATTAAAGAAATGGAAGTTGGGGTTGCCCTTTTTTCCAAGTGGTGCTCGCTGCAGAGCCATTTGAGGAGAGGTGAGCTCCAGAGAGGGGGAGGTTAAGCTTGAGCTCCACCTTTTTTGCACTTCTTCTACGAGTGATGTCACTGGGGGTAGGGTTAGGGGTGGGGTTGGTGTACGCATTGAAACAGCTTACAGGAGGAGGAGCGACAGCTCATGCTCCCCCTCTCTGGAGCTTACCTCTCCTCAAATGGCTCTGCAGCGAGCACCCTCTCCTTTTTTCTGTTACTGTCGCATCCATACACTTGAAACAACCATGTAATGAGAAATAATTGCAGGGTGGTGCTTAATTTTGTCCTTCGGGAAGTAAGTGTATTGTTGAAAGACTACTAACAAAATGAAGGAAGATTGATTAATGAAGTCAGCAGAAACGAGAAACCCACTGATAGTCCCGCCCTAAACCCTAAAATAATGATAGCTCCACCCTAAAACATAAATTAATGATAGCTCCGCCCTTAAGCATAAATTAATGATAGCTCCGCCCTAAAGGAATTCCATGTGACCAGAAGTAAACACACTCTCTTCCACATGGCAGAGTTGACAAAACCAAAGGTTTTGGGAAATGATTGAATGATGGGAGTTGCAAACAGAGTGGAGGCAGATTTGAATGGCAGTTTGCATTTACAATCTTGCATAAATTAAGATGACACAAACATGTAAAAAAGAAGTACATAAAACAAATTATGACCGGCTTTACATATGAAATTTAGAAGAGTACATGAGTTTGAGTGCATGCTAACTTAAGGAGTTTTAGAGAAATGCATGTAAAAACTTTCATAAACATCTTGGAATTTGTGAGGTATTCTTTCATTATAAGGTTTTCTACAACTGAACCTCAGATTAAAGCAGTTGTTGATTGTGTCTCCTCAGTTCCTGTGTTTTTGGATCCAAAAACAGCTCATCCGGATCTTGTAGTGTCTGATGATCTGACCATTGTGAAGAGAGAGAAGATTCCTGAAACTCCAGAGAAACCCTACCATCCGTATGTTCTGGGTTCAGAGGGTTATAACTCAGGAAAGCACAGCTGGGATGTGGAGGTGAAAGACAGTAAATTCTGGACTATTGGAGTAATGACAGAATCAAGCCACAAGAAGGGAGCTAATTTATTAACGTCTGACAACTGGAGTGTTCACTATGATAACTTTAGTATGTCAAAATGGCCTGGATTTTCTGTTGATCAAAATCCTGAGCGTGTGAGAGTTGAACTGGATTATGATAGTGGAACAGTGTGTTTCTCTGATTCTGTAAATAACACACTTCTACACACATTCAAAACCACCTTCACTGAGACTGTCCTTCCTTTCTTTCATACTCTCGACTCTCTGAAGATCTTGAGATTCAGTGATAAGTAAATGTAGGTCTGGATCTTTAAAGGTTCAGGACACACTGGAGAACTTTTTTTATATTAACAGATTTGTGTGTGTTGAGCATCAGTTAAGACATTGTTAGCACCTGTCAGCTTTAATTGTGGGGAAAACTGGATAATGTTGAGCTTTTGTCAGCTCATTTCAGCTTCCGGTTTTAAAATGATTTTTGGGGCGGGATCAAAATCGGCGACGGAGCACAGTACTGCAAGTGCAATGATGACGCGTCGGTTTCTCATTATTATTCATAGCGGAGTTTTCTTATCCTATGAGAAGAGCCGGCTGCTTAATTATTCATGAGAGCACGTGCTTTCTGAAGGCAGACCTGCCAGTTTCAAGCAAGCTGTGAGACACAGACCAACGGCACGCAGTAGCCGTTCATGAAGGCTCGTATGTGTTTGTTTCCATGATCCACGGGGTTTGTTGAATGTTTTTTCTCCGCGATCCTGTCAGGGCCGATCATACAGCAAAGCTGTGTGTGTGCTGCAAGCATTTTTGTCGGGAGAGCAGTGCGAGAATTGAAGAATGGCGGACGTTGACTTTTATCAGGAGTTCGTTCACATTTAGACACATCGCCGTGCTGCTGTGTTTGCCTAAATCCACCAGATTACCAGCAGGGCTAATGGTTAAAATAGACAGGGCAAGAGACCTGCTGCACTGAGTCTGCATTCAACATCTAGTGTTTACATGAACACACTTATCTTTATAATGATATAAATTGTGGTTATCTGTATATGAAATTATGAATAACTAATGTAGCAGGGCATTAAATTACTGTTTATTTCTTTGCATTTTAACTTTATGAACTATAAACTCATGCGTCTCCTCACGGTTTGTGTCTCATTTTGTGAGCTAACTGTCAACAACAGTTATTCTCTCCCCTTCTCCCCTGCTGGCCACGCCCACTCCTGCCCGATGCTCGCGGAGCTCCACGCCCATTAATCATGCATCCTTTGAAAAAATTCTGAAGTAGACTTTAACCGAAAGAGGGGGGTGTCATGACCCTTTAAGTTTTCATGTTTCCATTATTTAATCCATTATTGATTAGTATTTAACAACTGTTGTTTTTATGAATACATTTGATTTGATTTAATAAATGTTGTGTCTGCAGCTTCTGATGAAAATAATTCCCACAGTCACAGCTGAGCCACTGCGTGTATATGTGCAATTTTATTATAATTTCTAAAAACTATTTAATACAGTGGTCAAGAGATTCAAAAAAACATATGCAATTACAAGGAAATTAAGAATAGATGTTCGTTTGTTTGACAGCATACGTGTTGCAAAAACAAATTAAGAAAACGATGCAAATTCTCACAACGAAAATGTTTCAAGGGGACCCACAAACATGACAGACCCGGACGGGATTTGTTTATTGCACCATGGCTATTGTTTAGGTAAGCTGTAAAAGATAAATCTGCTGAAAAAAACCTGCTTAAACCAGCCTAAGCTGGTTGGCTGGTTTTAGCTGGTTGACCAGGCTGGTTTTAGAGGGGTTTTGGCCACTTTCAAGCTGGTTTCCAGCCATTTCCAGCCTAATCTTAGCTAATCAGGCTGGAATATGACCAGCTAAAACCAGCTACAACCAACTTGAACAGCCTGGTTTAAGCTGGACATAGCTGGTTTTGGCTGGGCTTCCAGCCTGGCTAGGCTGGTCAAGCTGGTTTTAGCTAGTCCTCTCCCAGCTAAGACCAGGCTGAAAATGATTGGAAACCAGCCTGGAAATGGCAAAAACCCCTCTAAAACCAGCCTGGTTCACCAGCTAAAACCAGCAAACCAGCCTAGGCTGGTTTAAGCTGTTTTATTCAGTAGGGAAGTTTTTTTGTTGTTGTTGTTTTTGTTTATTTTAACATCCTGATTATACCATTCCCTTGTCTTTTGTATATCATTTGCCTAAATATCCATAAGCTAAATAGCCAGGTTCGGCATGTTTTTGGGTCCCTTTGAAACATTTTTGTTGTATTACCATCCTCTCTGCATAAGTTAAGAGAAATTGCAGTGCGTTTTCATAATTTGTTTGTGTTGTGCAGATTTGCAACACATTTGGTGTCAAACGGATGAAGTTCTTTTCTTAATTTGCTGGTGTTTTTTATTGTTTGTGTTTTCTTAAATTGCAGCACATTAACCTCTCTTGGCCACCGTATTATTTGTGTTTTTAAACTCTTCCAGCAAGTGATTTATAATGAGTATTCATAGTGTTTTTGCTATTATGTGTTGTATCTTTACTTATTAAAGTAGTTACCCATGTCTATGATAGAATGAGTAAGTTTGTTTACTCTTTGATTTTGCATTTACTCTTGTGTTTTAGGAATTTTCCATAAAGAGTAAATTCACCATATATACAAACATTCAAATCAACAGAATCATCATAAAAACAAAACATCTTTGGGATGCAGTTCACCTCAAATCAATGTCTTTACAACAAGCAATCACCAGTTTCACAGGATAAATGCAATGAACAATTTTAAATAATGCTCTAATTTTATTAGTTAATCATAAACATCTGAGGATCTTAAAAATGTCTTTCCAGTTGACATTTTGAAATGTTGCTCTCCAAAAACCAATGGCTATAAGAAATGCAAGAAATTTGAAGAATATTTCTAAAATATATGTTCATGCCTTCCTGTTTAAGGCTTCAATTAAAATGTTAAATGGTTAAATGTGTTAAAATGTGTATGTAAGTTACTTTCCTAATAAATTCTTAAAAGCGTGTACTGCTTCCTAATTTGCATATAATATTTACACATCCTAAAAGCATGTATTTTTGTGAAGACAAAATAGATACTTTAAAGTGTGTAACAGAGTGTTAGCTTTGGTACATGACACATCATTCACATCACTTTCATATTAAATGACCTACCTTACTGGAGAAGCAGCAGCAGATTCATCTTTCATGCAGAGAAATCTCTGCAGGTGTTTGGATAATTCAGAAGTTAATGTCCAAACACGTCTTTGTGGAAGTTCACACTGTTGTTGCAGATGAAATATAACACAGAAAACATGATTAAAGATTTTCCAGTTGGCTAGAAAATAATTAACAGTCATTAAAAGAACTTTACCGATGTATCTCTGCTTGACGGTTGGTCTTTTTGCGTCCATCATGTCTGTAGTTTGTTTACACTTTACCTCAGAGTTTGTAGTTCTAATGTTCAACGCTCGTGGTTAATATTAGTGGGTAGAGTACGGACGGTTCTACACTCCATGAAACGATACTCTTTTCAACACACTACGGTTTGGCAATAGTTATATTTTAGAACACTATTTAGGACGGAAAGTGTGGGAATTGGGACGCAGCAACAATATTATACCACTACTAGATATGTTCTGTGTCGTTGATGATCTTGCACACAGAATGCATCTTTGCTGACATCTAGTGGCGAAATTGAGTTATTGACTAAATAAATAACTGCTGCAAGGTGACAAAATGATTTTTAAAAGATGAACAACATTAAATATAGCTACAAACAACAGTTCCCTACTGGAAAAAAACAGCTTAAACCAGCCTAGGCTGGTTCTAGCTGGTCAACCAGGGTGGTTTTAGAGGGGTTTTGGCCGTCTTAGCTGGTCAGGCTGGGAGATGACCAGCTAAAACCAGCTTGACCAGCCTAGCCAGGCTGGGAGCCCAGCCAAAACCAGCTATATCCAGCTTAAACCAGGCTGGTCAAGCTGGTTTTAGCTGGATTTAGCTGGTCAGTTTCCAGCCTGACCAGCTAAGACCAGGCTGGAAATGGCTGAAAACCAGCCTGGAAATGGCCAAAACCCCTCTAAAACCAGCCTGGTCGACAAGCTAAAACCAGCCAACCAGCCTAGGCTGGTTTAAGCTGGATTTTTCTGCAGGGAATTATCAGGGTTTAAGCTAATTAATTTATTAGGTGTTTTGTAAAACTGTTGTATTAACCCCTTGGTAAGTAAACTACTTCAGAGTGTTTAAAAAATACCAATAAATGATCATTTCAGGCCAGTCACAAACAGAAAAACAGTTGTTTTTTTCAGTAGTTATTAGTTAATGTTGGAAGTTTTGTTACACCTTTGTTTTATAATTTATTAAATTCATTATTTGCTTAATATTTCTACAAACAATATCTAATAATGACAACATAAAAGACTTTTATTTACTTTGAGGTTTTCTGAAGATTTGTTTAATGTAATAAAAACCTAAAAAGGCAATAGGTATGTAGGCTATGTGCAGCTTTCTCCATGACACTCACCTGCGGTCTGTGGACAAACACCTAGTATTGATCTAAGGAGTCATTTTAATTTACATTCCTTTAAGCTGATTTAAAAAAAAAAAAGCTTGTAAAACTAAAAAAAAAAAAAAAAAAACTCAACTAATCAGGTTTCAACTTAATATTTAAAGTTATGATACACAAAAAATGTTGTCATGAATTATTGATCATATAATATTTAGTTTTTTTTTTTTTTACGGATTTGCTGTATGGCAAGTTGGTTAGCTTTTAATGTTTTAGAGTTTTACATCACAACTACATTCTTATTAGTTAAGACTCATTAGTTGAATACTGTAAATCAATCCAATGACATGAATACTACTATAGTAATTTATAGTAAATAATAGTTTGATTTACAGTACACTAATTTACATTAAATAATAGTTCAGTGTGAACTGAACTTTAAATTTCACTGCTGAAACTTCAAACACTGAAGAGCAAATCCAGCGATGCGCAGCTCTACAAGTCCCAAACCAAGCAAGCCAGTGGCGACAGCGGCGAGGAACAAACTTCACCAATTGACAAAGGTGAAAGAAAAAACCTTGAGAGAAAGCAGGCTCAGTTGAGCACGACAGTTTTTCAATTGGCCAAACTTCCAGAATCACCAAACCGGATGCGAGTGCTTTACTGTAGTGTGGTTGTAAAACACTACCGTATTAACTACAAATTTAAATTAGTATTTTTTTCATGCAAGAAAAATTTAATTTTAATAAAAGAAAATTGCAGAATGCTTTAATCGTGGTTATTAATGTTAAAAATAAATAAAGAATTAATGTAATTGATAGTATTAGGGATTTGTAGTTTGTTACTTTTAATGCAATAGAAGTAATTCTGGGTTTAATAAAGCTATTTGGCCTACCATCAGGATTTCTACAGGTTTCATCAAGTCAAATTTAAGACTTTAAGACCATTTTAAGACCATAATGAATGAAATTTCAGACTTACAGAAGGCTAAACCCCTTAAGATTTTTTTTAATGGCCAAGTTAAAACCTTAAAAAAAACATTAAAAACAAATGTTATTGTAAGGAAGATAATTATACCATAATAATAATAATAATAATAATAAGTAAACAGAGTTAATAAATAAACGTTTCTTAAAACTTGAAATATATTGTTAGTGATTGGATGGGTGTTGGCTCCATTGGGCATAGCTTTACATGGAAAACGAAGACCCGTTTAAAATGAATTAGGACCTACAACACAATATTTAAGTGCTTTTTTTAAAGACTTTAAGGCCTACATTTTCTTTTATTTAAGACGTTGTAAGACTTTTTAAAACCTAGCAGGTACCCTGACCATATATAAATGTTAATAAACCAGGGTATGTCAGATGAAGTTTCATCATCTCTGAATATGTAAATGTCAAATTCAGCAATCAATGGAAAATGGAGTAAATGAGTCGTGTTGTTTTGATGTTTACCTAGTAAAATGTTTCACATCTCAAAAGTAATTTAATTTCTGAATTTCAATTCTCCGATTATGTTTACAGATTAGATAGATTACAGGTTTCTCACTGATGTTAATACAGTAAATCTATTGTTAAACTGCACATGTACACTGGACAAACGCAACATATGACCACACCAAACGCTGGTTTAATGTACTTCATAAAAGTTAACCAATAAAAAAACAAAACAATTTCTGACTTTATTTTGAAAGCATTCTCATGTTACAGCATTTTCACACACAAGTCAATAAACCTTTCCAGTACTGCAGTTTTCCCATGCTTCTGGAGTCTCCTCAGCTCTTCTGGATGGAGTTTCAGTTTCTCCAGATGAGTTTCTCTCCTGACAAACCACAGGAAACTTCAGAAACAAATGACTTGAACCCATTTTACACTGGTGAATATGTTGAATAAATATGTACAGTACTAATATGAATTTTTAAGGGGGCCAATAATTTTGCACACTGTTTATCAAAGATTTCATGAGACTCATCCCTATTTTCAATCATTTTATTTCAATGCAAGGTTGGTTTGTTTTTGAATGACGAAGATAAATCAATTACGCACATTTCTTCCAAGGGCGCCAATAATTTTGACCACAAATGCGCATGTTTATTTTAAAAAAGTGATCTCAATTTTAAAAGTAAAAATACTGCAGTAAAAACACGGCTCATTTTAAAATGTTTATAAACTCACTGATGAGAAGTTGTTGATCAGACACAATATGGCTTCAGTTGAGAAACGTGAACGACTGATACACAATGTGTCGACTTTTCACATACAAACTGACCCAGACTATATGAAAACAGCAAATATTGTGAATGACAGTCAAACAAAACCATGCTGAAAACACACCAACATCAAAACCCAAACACAGTCAAATTCATATCAATCTTTATTTGTACTTAGAAATTTTGCGCAACAATTCTTCTCTTTTCTTTTGTGTGTTTGTTTTTTCGCGGTCGATCTGAATCTCTCATGCCATTATTCCTGCAGGAGCGGCTGAAACGGACCTCTTACATAAAGTGCTTCTGTCAACGATCGCGTCGCTCTGCTTTTTCTTCTTTCGTTTTTTCTTCTTCTTCTTGTTTTTTTTTTGCAATAGAAAAATGAAAAGACGGTGGAGGACAAAAAATTCCCATGGCTCACGAGAAGAGTGAAGGAAAGGGCAGATCCGTTAAAAAAAGAGGAGGAAAGGGACAGAAAGAGCAGAGATAGTTCAGTGAAGGCTTCTTCAGCCCAGGATCAGGCTGGATTTTCCTCCTGGAGGATTCCTGCGGCCGGACGCGTTTCCAGCAGACGGCTGAGCGGAGGCCGAGGAGGAGTCCTCTTTCTGCTCCACACACTCCTCTGAGAAAACACACACACACAGCACAGTGTTTAGGAGATTCACGCACAACAGCACAGCAGATAAAATACACAGATTCACACACACACACACACACACACAGGTTTAGTTCACTATATCAGTGAGAAAATTTCATAGACTTCCATTAGGTTAATGATAGCATCCATGCCCTACCCCTAACCTGAACCCTAAAACAACCCTCACAGAAACAAGTGTACATCAAAACATACTAATAAAAACATCAGGGCCTGTTTCAGTAAGGAGGTTTAAACAACACGGAGTTTAAACTTGAACTCTGAGTTGATTTACCGAGAGATTAAAAACTCTGAGTTTTCGGTTTCAGAACAGCTGATCTGAGTTGGGTCAATCAACTTTGAGTAGACCAACTCAGAGTTAAGCGCGCACACCGTGACTTTAAAAAGGCATTATCAATGGAGCGCAGACATTACGAGTGACTATGACAATATCTTATAAAAGAGATCAGCATTTCTTTCTCCAGCTGAACTTGATGTTCTCATGCAAAGTTATAGCAAATATGAGTGTGTATATTTAAAAAGAAGCAACCATCAGTGAAGAAGAGACAGATAGCGTGGAAAACAGCTGCTCAAGATAATGCCTAATTTCACTTTAAGTATTTAAATATTTAAGTATAATAAAATAAGTAATGTCATTTGTGACGTTTATATATTTTTTCTAAACTTTATACATTTATTAGTTTTAAATGATTTAACAGTGCACTTGTGTGTCTGCCTTTTTTATTGATCAAGTGATAGAGGTTAATACAACATTTAGAAGATAAGCAGTACTAAAAATAATTTTTAGAAAGAATAATAATCCCATTAATCTAGTTAAAGTGCTTGTCGAAGATGAATTTAATTTAATTATTTATTAAAAAAAGATAAGCCATTCTAGTACAGTTCTTCTGTGTGTGACTAAAATGTAGGCAATAGCTGTGTTTCCATCCAAATATATTACATAAATGTATGTGCAAAACTGGAATATTGCATAAAAGATGCGAATAAAACTCCATCCAACGAGTCTAAGAGAAAAAAAATCGTCACTTTCTGATTAAACTGGCACCAAATATCAACAGTAAAAACAGAATTTACTGTGGTAGAAGAAGCTGCGTCAATTAATTCTTTATTTAGCCTAATTAATGTACTTGCGCCTCGATGTCAAAAGACAATGCTGAAACACAATGAACACGTGGGGGCGTCTGCTATGAGACGCGGAGACTCTTCACACGCACCAGACGTTCGGAGGTAATTAATAATATACACTAATACTGAAACAGTAAAGGCATTTTAGAATGACTAAAACAACATTTAAGACATGTTACAGTGTGCTCAGCCTGCTGGTTTGTCCATTTACACACATTTTCATTATCATATGATCATGATCTTTTTTTTAATGTACATACTGTAATTTGTTCAGTAAAAGTGTTTCCATCGTAGTTTATGCGCACATTTTCTATCGAATAAAAGTTTATCCTACTCAGTTATGCGCGTTTTTTATGCATATTTTAAAAAGTTATGTGCATCATGACGTTTCCATCAATTGTTTTTATGCACGTATACAAAATGAGCATTAAAATAGGTGGGTGGAAACATAAGGCTAAGGCGAGAAATACCGCTTCATCTTTAAAAAAGGGGAGGAGACAGACAGAAACTCTGAGTTTAGAGAATAAAACCTGCTTCTGACCAGGTTAGATTCACAGAGTAAGTTACCACAGTAACTGACTCTGAGTTAAAGTTACCTTTCTTTCAGAAACAGGTTTGACTTACCCTGCTTTCTCGAGTTTAACAAACCTGCCATTTTGAAACGGAAAACCCAGAGTTTCTCTCATTTCAGGGTTAAAATACTCTGAGTTTTCAGTTAACCTCCTTTCTGAAACAGGCCCCTGGTTTGCTTATCCAGGGTATATACAAGGGATGTCAAACTCAATTCCTGGAGTGCCGCAGCCCTGCACAGTTTAGTTCCATCCCTGCTCCAACACACTTACCTGCAGGTTTCAAACAAGCCTGAAGGACTCTATTAGTTTCATCAGGTGTGTTTAGTGTTGGAACTAAAGCCGCAGAGTGCAGGGCTGCGGCTCTCCAGGAATTGAGTTTGACATCCCTGGTATATACTGAATTTCTTAAGTTGAATTTATTACCTTTTTTAACACCTTCAAAACATTTTTTTTATACCAGCACGACTTAGAGCTGCAACTGTAGTGGAGTAAATGAAATATCTTTCCAATTGGAATAACATATTGCAATTAAGATGTACATTTAAGTAGAGCAGAGGGATTAATCAAGATGTCACAGTAACAACAGAAGTGGGTTTTATATGTATAAAAATGTCAATTTTCTGTATAAATAAATGTAACTTGTTCTTGGCATAAAAAATAAAGGGAAAAAAAAAAGTAACAATAGCCGCTATGCTAAGAACAGTTCGGTACAGTTACGGTTGTTTCTCCACTGAGCCTGGAACTGCGCGGCATGATTACAAACCGTTCTAGACATGGTTAGACGTGCTAAACTGCCGATAGATTCTACTGTGTTGACGTCTCGGCTCTGTTGCCAAGCTACCACCAGTGTTGCTAGATATAGTGGACTTTTTACAGCCCAAAGGCTGTCCAAAACCCACCCGAATGCACAAAATATAAAATATTAACCTAATATTTTGCCCGTTTTAATTTTTTTATTTTATTTAAATCGAAATTTATTTATAATTGTTATATTATTGTCATAATTGTTATCCACACAGCAACCAACACCAGCAGTCGCAGAACCACAACATGACCAGATCACATCGAAACACTAGAATAAAGGCCTGCGCTTAACACAAATTGAAAATTTATCTGAAAAAAAAATGGGTCTCGAAAATGTAATGACTTTTTAATCCTTTTTAATGCCCTTAATTACAGTTAATTTACAACCCCGCGGACGCCCTGTTATAAGCTATTTTAATTATTGAGCAGTGAAGTGTCCAATAGTGGGTCATTTTTATATCTCACTATAAAAGGGAGGACAATAGAGTCCTCAAGAGTATAGTTAAACCAGTATACACACCAAGGTTTGTTTCATTTCCATTGTTTTTTCTATAAGATTAATGATAGTGACTCTGGCCTAACCCCAGCCCTAACCTGAACCCCTCACAGTAACAGTTGCACATCATTACATACTAATAAAAAACATCTTCTGGTTTATTCATATGCACTTTTAAGGTGCAGCAAATGAGGGTTACTTTAAGGCGCAGTGAAATGTCCACTAGTGTGATGTTTGATATTTCACTATACAAGAGAGGACAATTGAGCCCTCACAAGTATAGCTAAATCTGTATATATTTACACACACAGGTTTGTTTCACTATCTTAGGACTTAACAGACCTTCATTGTTTTTTCTCTCTATTAGGTTAATGATAGCGATGGCCTGACCCTAGTCCTAACCTGAACCTTTACAGAAACAGTTGCAAATCATTAGATATGAATACATTGATTTATAAGCACTTTTATTGAGTGAGGAGCAGTGAAAGTGTCCACTGGTGGGTTGTTTAGATAACTCACTATATAAGTGACAATTGTGCCCACAATAGTATAGCTAAACCTGTACACACACAAGTTTGCTTCACTATCTAAGTGAGGACATCATATTCACGTCATTAGATACTAATAAAGAAAAAAAAATTCTGTCCAAATTATAAAGCACTATAAATCAGTGAGAAATGGTGAATCGTCCTCGAGGGTTGTCTCAGGCCTCACTAGAAGGAAATTTAAGTCCTAACAAGTATAGCTACACCAGTACACTCACAGGTTTGTTTTACTTCTTCTGAGGGTGCTTTCACACCTACACTTTTGTTTCGGAACGTATCTCGTTTGCCCAGTTAGCGCGGTTCGTTTGCCATATGTGAACAGGGCAATCGCGCTCTGTTCCGCGCCAAAGTAATCGCTCCGAGATCGCTTGAGTGAGGTGGTCTTGGCTCGATTGAAACGAACCCTGGAGCGGTTCGATTGCAGTGAGAAAGCGATCCGATCCGAGCGCGGTTATATCACAGTGTTTTATGGATATGTAATAGGCTTACGGCTATATGAAGAGAGAATTATGAGTAGGGCAGGAAGTTTCGCGAGTCTCCGGATGCCCGCAAACGAGTGATGATCTTCCTGTAATCTCGCGTCTCTCTCCCAGTCCTCAAATAGGCATCGTTGCGCACCCTTCTCACCCCTCCCCACCGTGTCTCTCCTCAGACACGTCACGTGCGCGCACCCTGTCAATCACCACCAAACCACCACCTCTCCTGACAGCTGAGCGGGACGCTGCAAAATAAACCCTGACACTCTGACCAATGTGAGGAGAGTTTACTCGCACGTGACTTGTTTTAGCTCTCTTAGTCCGTTTAGGAACTTTGCAATGTGAAAGCGAACCGCTCCAAGAGCAAAGAGCAACAATGTAACAATTTTAATCTCTGTTTCGGAACAACTGAATCGATTCAAAGGTGTGAAAGCACCCTAAGAGCATTAAAGATTTCCATAGTTTTTTTTTTTTCTATCAGGTTAATGGTATGGCCTGTGGCCTAACCATAGTCCTAACCCAAACAGAAACAGCTGCACATCACTGGATACTAATAAAACAAGTTCTGCCCAATTTATACACACTTTTAATCAGTTAGGAGCAGTGAAAATGTCCACTAGTGGATTGTTTTAATATCTCACTCTACAAGGGAGTACAATTGAACTCTCACGAGTAAAGTTAAACCAGTACGCACACACACACACACACACACACACACACACACACACACAAACAGGTTGTTTTTACTTCTACTGTGAAAACATTAGATTTCAAATGTTGTTCTATCAGGTTCATGATCGTGTCTGTGGCCGACCCCTAGCCCTAACCCGAACCCTAAACAAACCCTGACAATGAAAGAGGGTTACTTTTGAGGTGCTGTGAAATTTCCACTAGTGGGTCGTTTTGACATTTCGCTATAAATGTGAGGACAATTGAGGCCTCATTCAGTACACACACACACACTAACACACACACACACACACAGGTGTGTTTCACAATTTTAGTGAGGACATTATAGACTTCCATTGTTTCTCTATCAGGTTTAGGATAGTGACTACGGCCTAGCCCTAACCTTCAGAAATAGCTGCACATCATTAGATGCTAATAACACATCTGGTTGATTTACAAACTCTTAATTAGTGATGTGTCCAATAGTGGGCTCTTTTAATAACCTACTATATAAGCTGGGACAATTGAGCACTCAGAAGTATAGCTAAACCTGTAAACACAAAGCAGACATGAACTTTTGCATTAGCAGAGTTCAATGCGGAGTCACGTTTCAACATGAAAAGGACAGAGCTTCATATCATACAGTCACGGCTTTACAGGGACAGTTCACACTAAAATGAAAATGTACATAAAGTGCATTCAAACCTTTGTGAGGTTTTTTTTTTTTTTTCAGATAAACACAAAACTTAATTTTTCCTACTAGGGAAGTCAATGGTTAAAGGTTTTCAACATTTTTCTAAATAACTTCTTTTGTGTTTAAGAGAAGAAGGAAACAATTGCATTTGCAACAAGTACAGAAATGACCATTTTCATTTTTGGGTGAACTGCCCCTTTAAACTAGGGCCTTTATGCTAAATCTCTCAGTCAGATCAGTACTAGATAAAGAAAATCAACATTAGCACCTGTTTATTTTTTCCCCATTTTCCGTTTAACGAAGAAGATATTTTCAACACATTTCTAATCATAATAGTTTTAACTCATCTCTAATAACTGATCTATTTTATCTTTGACATGATGACAGTAAATAATATTAGATATTCTTCAAGACACTTCTATACAGCTTAAAGTGACATTTAAAGGCTTAACTAGGTTAATTAGGGTAACTAGGCAGGTTATTGTAGAGATGGTTTGTTCTGCAGACTATCGAAAAAAATACAGCTTAAAGGGGCTCATAATTTTGACCTTAAAACCGGTATTAAAAAATTGCTAAAATATTATCAGACATACTGCGAACAATTGCTGAATCTGTTAAACATCATTTGGGAAATATTTAAAAAAAGCAAAGTAATTCAAAGGGGGGCTAATAATTCTGACTTCATTCTTACACGCTATCATGCACAAAGCACATGCTGCATTCTGACAGCCACCACAGGAGGCACTGCAGCACATTCAAATCAGAAAACAGATCTCTCTTTCTCAGGTGAAAGGTTAGCTCTTTATTCAATACTATCAGCTAGAACTCTGTGTTTGACTGCACAAATTTACTCAGATCAGCTGACAATAAAAGACAGCAGACAGAGAGCAAGCACTGGATAATATTTACACTTTGCATGAACTGATATATTGCTGTGTGTGTGTGTCTGATCTGAACACTTAAAAGTCACAGCACACACATATATAGTCACAGTAAGAGTATAGGATCACAAAACTATGCTAAAATCACCCAGTGGAAAAAAAAAACACTTAAAGATGATATTAATATTAATCAAAGTAAAAAAAACAACTATAACACTATAAATAAAATGCAAAAATAATCCCTAAACTATTTAGCAAACTTAGTTAATGATTTATCTATTTGCATGCTTGTTTTTAATATCTTTATAAAGGGTTTGAGCTTCATTCCTAACCAAAGGTCAAACTCCCTGATGGTAAAAAGCTGGATTTCCATGAGCTGTAATAAATGGAAAGAACCGGCAGCTGATGCGTGTCGCGTAAGATTACAATTATAAATGATAAATTTATAGATTTATAATGACTTTCCCAGCAGAACACACAGACTACAGCATCAGACAAACTGCAGACGCCATTAATGAGAAGAGCAGACGCACAGATCCTGGAGGAAGAGTGTGTGTGTGTGTGGGTGTGTGTGTGTGTGTGTGTGTGTGTGTGTGTGTGTGTGTGTGTGTGTGTGTGTGTGTGTGTGTGTGTGTAAAAGAGCAAGGCAGAGAATTAGTGTTGAATTCATTTGCCTTATCCTACATAATCTACACTGACTGTAATTGAAATGATTTTAATATAAGTTTTAATATTTTATAATTAAATTGATTATTATTTATTTATTGCATCTGTTGTTATTACTTTGTCTGAAATATAGACTATTACTATATAAACTTGAGAAATATTCTGGCAATACTGGAACAAATGAAAGTCATGCACGTAAAGCAACTTAAGAACTTCATGCAAAAACAACTGTGTGTGTTTGTGTGTGTGAGTGAGTGTGTATCTGTGAGTGTGCGCCTCATTCCTGAACTAATGCACATCTTCAGAAAATGCTTGTTTATCTGCAGCAGTTCTCAACAGACACGTCACAGACATGCATGCAAAAATGTACGCATGCACAAAACACACTCAAACACACAAACAAAAACACAAAAAACCCACACACAAAAATGCAGGCACACAAATATACACTGAAACAAAATCAAGCAATTGAACACAAAAGCAAACACACACACACACAAAAACAATACTAAAACGCATGCACACAGCACACTCAAAACAAACAAAAACACAAAAGCACACACACACACACACACACACACACACACACACACGCACGCACGCACGCACAAACACATGCAAAATGCACGCAAGCAAAAACAAAAAAAAACAAAAAAAAATACAAACATCCACAAACACTAAACAGACAAACAAAAACTCAGAAAAACCACACACACACACACACGCACGCACGCACGCACAAACACATGCAAAATGCACGCAAGCAAAAACAAAAAAAAACAAAAAAAAATACAAACATCCACAAACACTAAACAGACAAACAAAAACTCAGAAAAACCACACACACACACACACGCACGCACGCACGCACGCACACCTACCTACAGGAGGAAAGTCAGACTCACCGTGGTTCTCTTGCTCATATTCATGATGATCCTGCAAAACAAAAAACAAATCATTATAATAATACTACATTTCATTCATTCATTTAGTCTTTCATTCATTCATTTAGTCATTCTTTCAAGATCACCAGAGGACACTTTACATAAAGGTAAATAGAAACAAAACCAAAAAAGCAACCAACCAATCAGTGAAAAGTAGACAAGGATACAATAATTTACACATTATCACTTTAACCTATTGAGTTAATAAGCTTTCAATGAACACTGTCAAGTTGAACTGACTAAAACCATTGAAGTTACTTTGTATGAGATTCAACAAAAACAACAACAACAACAAAATAAAAAATATATAATAAGCCAGCAATAATAATGTACACTATTACCTTAACTTACTTTAAGTTAATCAGGTTTAAACAGTTGCGTTAACTAAATCATTCATTCTCCTTCGGCTTAGTACCGCATTTATCAGAGGTTGACACAGTGGAATGACCACCAACTATTCCAGCATGTTTTACACAGCAGATGCCCTTCCAGCCGCAACCCAGTACTGGAAAACACCCACACACACACTATGACCAATTTAGGCCCCGTTTACACTGGTGCGTTTTACTAGCGTTTCTGAACAGCTCTCCGTCTACACCAAAACACTGAAAACGCACATTACATGACCACACACATACTCTCTCTGGCATGTGCTGCAGCCTATCTAGCCAGATGAGAGCTGTGCTAGTCGGAGTGTTCATCAAGCATCTCCCGCTGGATCTAATCTCACTATATTTGCTAAACGTGATATTTAATTCATCATGTTGTCTTTATCTAACGACATATTCCCCGACTTTGGTCTTTTGAATCTATTACTTGTATTCAGCTAACATGTTTTGACTGAGCACAAAGATAAGTTCATAATTAACGTAACCACCTACATTCTGTATATTGACTGATCGCTTGCCTTTATTTCCTATAATGTATAAACTTATTGTACGTTATACTTTTATAATGGCCATTATTGATTATTAAAACTGATATTCAGCAAAAGAGAGGCTGTGTTTCGTATTTTCACTTAAATTGAAAGGAGGCAGTTTTTATAGGCCCTGTTTTGTTATAAATATCCACACAGTGAAGATGACGCTCATATATGCAGCACAACGCCTCAACATTTCTGCTGTCTGTAAGTTGCTAATATTAAAATAAAAATAGGCAGTTCCTTAAATCATGGTTATATTTTATTATTAAGATGGTAAAACAACGTAGCCAGGATGATGTGAATAAGGTTATGAAGTACACTGTTCTCTTTAAAGATTTACCTGACATGTCCTCAGGAGTCTGTTTTCCATATCAAACTTGCGAAGTCGGAACTTACAACTAACTGAACTTTAACTGTGTGTGGGCTACTTAACACTGAGGAAAAGCCCCAATCATAGAGGAGAATGTCGGCAGCCTCGCCTCCATTTTCAGATGTCTCAGTTTTTCCCCATCCACACTGAGATGGAGCAGCAGCGTTTTAGAATGAAATAACCTCTTCAGCTTTTCTAAAACGCTCAGTTTTCGTCGCTCGAGAACTCCGGCATAGTGTGGACAGATGTCGTAACCGTAGCAAAACTTATGCGTTTTCAAACTAAACCGCATTAGTGTAAACGGGGCCTAAGATTACTCAATACACCGAGAGCGCATGTGTTTGGACTGCGGAGAACACCGGGCCTGAATAATTTTATTAAAAGTTAATATGCATTAATTTCAAATTCATTTTAAGGGATTAAAAGGCAGCATTAATGTACATTATTACTTTACCTTCTGTTAATCAGAGTCAAACTAAAGCCTGATTTATACTTCTGCGTCAAGTGACCGGCGTAACCCACGATGCATGCAACGCGAGTAGCTGTACATTTATACTTCTGCGCGCTGTCTCTGTTGGTCTGCATTAACACTTCTGAAACACTAGTTGGCAGTGAGGTGTAAATGTTCCTCTGTGTCGAGATTCTTTCTTTGCTGTTTTGCTTTTCTTGAACACTTCCTGGATGTACAAGTGGCTTAAACTCGCTCATTTTGAGGCAGGAACCGGCGGACGTGCAACAACTTTAACTATGAGGTAAACACAAAACAAAACTTTCCATCCGGAGCTCCTTCACGGGACTCCACACTTGTAAACAATCGCTCTATTGGGCTAGCGGAGTTCGCGCGGCTCTCGGCCCCGCCCAGACTAGTCAACGCTACCAGGCCGACCAATCACAGAGCTTTCGCTACGCGTCGTTGCGACGTGTAGTTACAGTTTTTAAGAGGTGCACGTCAGGGATGGCCACGACGAAGGGTTATGCGTCAGCGCCGTAGCATACGCATGCATTTGACGCAGAAGTATAAATCAGCCTTAACAGTTTAAGGTTGAACTGACTACAAACATTACAGTTAATTTGTACAAGAGGACAAGAAAAGTCAATTTGACTCAACTAAGAACAAAAAGAAAAGGAAAATAACAGCAAGAATGTATTTAATAGAGTACAGATGAGTTAGAAAACAAGCTGATGTGGAAAATTAAGGCAATCAAATCAGTCTAGAAACGTTGTGAATAAGCGAATGAGCCTTTCTGTGAGAACTTTTAAAGGTCTGGAGTGAAGAAAAGACGCGGTGATCTGTGGCTTTAATAAAAGTGAGTAATGATGAACAATGTGCTGTAAAAGCAGAGTCATTCAGAAGAGGAAGAGAGAAAGAAAAGCTTATAAAAAAGCAGATACAAGCTAGACATTCCTGCAGTGAAGGACAAACAACTGAAGTCTGTCCACATAAAGAGCAGAGCAGCTGTGTGTGTTCGCGTGTGTGTGTGTGTGTGTGTGTGTGCGCGTGCTTGTGTGTGCGTGCTTGTGTGTGTGTGTGTGTGTGTGTGTGCTTGTGTGCGCGGCTGTTAACTGGGTGGAGAACAGACGAAGCGTGTTATTTTGGACATGTACAGTCAGTTTGCAGGCCAGTACAGTTATAAGGAAACATCTGAGAGTTTAGTCAGGCTGTAAACGCAGTTCATAAACAGTAAGTGACAGACATTTAATAACAGAAAGAAAAGATTCAATATTAAAGCATGTTGTCGAAATATAATGTATTTTATGGTGTCTTTAGACTTGAGCAGTGTTAAGCAAGCTACTTGACAAATGTAGTGAGCTAAGCTATTAGCTACTCAAAATGTAGCTTAACTACACTAAAGCTACCCCCTGGGAAATGTAGCAAGCTAAGCTAAAAGCTAAATGGCAAAAGTAGCTCAGCTACATCAAAGCTATTTTTGCAATTTTTATTTTTAAATCGAAGCAACTTAAATCCAAGTCAATCACATCTTGGTGATCAATAAAACTGTCAATGAATCATGAGGCAGAATAGTTCAGTTCGGTTATTTACTGTAAATAATATGCTGTACTCAACAGAAACACTTTATAGTATATAACAGCTTCAAAATTTAATAAAACCAGCTGTTACACATTTAAATGCTATAATCATTAATAGTAATGGAAAATATTTTGATAAACAAATATATATATATAAAAAAAATATATATATATTAATATATATATATATATATATATATATATATATATATATATATATATATATATATATATATATATATATATATATATATATATATATATATATATATTAGGGATGTAACGGTATCAGAATTTCACGGTACGGTAATACCTCGGTATGAATGTCACGGTACGGTATTTATTGAATCATTTACAGGAAAAAACAAAACTTATGAAAATACTCCAAAAAAGTGCCAAAAGTGTCAATGACATACAAATTAGCCATCTATCTGTAAGCTTTGAACCAGGAACTTCAATTTTAATAACAAAAAATTATTAAACCATGTAAAAAAATAAAGTTTCAATTTAGTATTGTTGAAAACTCATCACATTCAACATTTAATCACTCACTCACTTAGATAGAGATGGGTTTAAAGGAAAATTATCATATAAATATAATCTGGTAAAAGCTGGTATCTCTGGGCATTTACAATGTCCCCTGCAACAGACAAAAACCCTCTCATTTGGGACTGATGTTTCTGGGACAAGAGAGATATGACTTGGCCCAGGTTGACAGCAGTGGGTAACGTTGTGCATTGTCTTTCCCCCATTTGAGAGGACAAACCATGAGTGAGATAGAGGTCTCATGTCTGCATCAATCTGAACAGTGTGCTGACAACACCGCTATTCAGTACGCGCGCGACAACACCGCTATTCAGAACGCGCGCGGCGACAACACCGCTATTCAGAACGCGCGCGGCGACAACACCCGCTTTAGGGTTTTTTAGCTCTTTTTCATCCCCGCTTCTAGCAGCACACTCTATTTCCGCATTACTGGATCTGTAGCGACAACAGACCGCAAGGGATGATGGTCAAGCATGGGCTGATGGGAATTGTAGTTTTTTGGTTACCTCCCGTTCGCTTCATTCGCCTGAGCAAATTTTCTCAGAAGACCTATAGTTTTACCGAGTCATGCGACTACGGTAATATCGAAAAAAATTTATATTGCGGTATGACGGTATTTACAATACCGTTACATCCCTAATATATATATATATATATATATATATATATATATATATATATATATATATATATTGTAATAAGCATTATAGTGCTTGTATATTTATACAAGCCGAAGGAAAAAGGAAAATGTTTGAATATATATATTTTGTAGAAATAAAATATATTTTATGTTCAGTCTTTAGACTTAAACATACAATCGAAATATTAATGTAGAAACTAACTATATATCAGTAAAGTCAAATTTTTACCATAGTATAATATAGTAAATTTAAGTTAAAGCATTTAAATAATTACATTAACATTAAAAAAAGCATCTACAAAATAATAAATAAAATATATATAAAAATAAACTATCAATTAATATTACGTATTGGTATAGTAAAGGCAGGTATATTAAAGTAATATAGTTTATTATAGTTAATATAATTATAGTTAAATATAGTAAACTATAGTTAAATCATATTAGAAAATAAATATATGAACATTACCAAAAGCATCTACAAATTAATATATATATATATATATATATATATATATATATAAACACTACCATAGAAACTAATATTACATATTGGTATAGTCATAGTTAGGCCAATATTATAGTGTAATTTAGTAAATTATTGTTAAATCGTATTTGAAAAGAATTCTATAAATTAAGCATCTATTAAATGAGCACATTTTAAAATAATCAAATAAATAACAAATATAAACCATGAATAAAAATAGATCAAATACTTTCATTAGCTGTTTTTTCACTTCGCTTAAAGACCAAAATAACAAAAAGAATTATAAAATCATTATTTACACAACGAATAACACCAAGATTATAAACTAAATCTAATTCAAAGTAACCAAAAAAATAATAATAATAAATAAATAATAAATTTTAAACCACTGAACACTAAAATAAGATTATTATGCAGTGCTATGCACGATGTGAATTTAAATTTTTATATAAAATAAATAGTTTATGTCTGTATTGATGCATTGTCTGTATTGGCATTTATTGGAAGTAAAAGTCTTATTTTGAGTCAGTGGTGTAGTGAGGTATAGCGTGTTTCAATCAGGTCCTGCTGTGGAGTGTGTGTTGGTGAACTGACCTCATGGTTGGGCTGTGGCTCTCCTGCACCTTCATCATACACTATAGCAGGCTGACATCGTCTCAGAGGAGCTGAAGGTTCACCGCACAACACTCCAGACGCTTCTCCACCTGATAAAGAAACGACAACAAGCTATTCAGAGATCAGATAATCACACACATGCAATGAAAATCACAGGACTTTACACTAAATTCTGAGGTTTCAGTTTGAACTTTTCTGGGTTACATTTAAACTGAACTATTGGAAATAAATTTAACTGAACTTGAACACTTTCCTTTTTTTGTATGGAGAAAAAACAACAACTAATAAATAGATTAAAATAGTAATAATAACAATAATTATAAATAAAAACAGATTAACAATAATAATATTAATAATAAAAACAGATTTATAATAATAAATAAAAACTGATTTATAATAATAATAATAATAATAATAATAATAATAATAATAAAACAGATTTATAATAATAATAATAATTATAATAATAATAATAATAATAATAATAATAATTAGTAGTAGTAGTAGTAGTAGTATTATAAATAAATAAAACAATAATAAAATAAAGATGATAATAATAATAATCATCATCATCATCATCATCATCATCATAATAATCATTATGATAAAAAGAGATTTATAATAAAATAAAGAGATTTATAACAATAATAATAATAATAAAACAGATTTATAATAATAATAATAATTATTATTATTATTATTATAAATAAAACAATAATTAAAAAATAAAGATTTACAATAATAATAATAATAATAAACTGATTTATAATAATAATAATAATAATAATAAATAAGAAATATTTATAATAATCATTATTATTATAATTATAATAAATAAAAAATATTTATAATAATAATAATAATAATATTAATAATAATAAATAAAGAGATTTATAATAATAATAATAATAATAATAATAATAATAATAATAATACAGATTTATAATAATAATATTATTAACAATAAATAAAAAACAGACTTTATAAGAGACTAACAGACTAATAATAATAATAATAATAATAATAATAATAGATAAAAATAAATAAATAAAATATATTTTTTAATAAAGGAAGGATAATAAATCCAAAACTGAAACCAATATAACAATATACAATAATATAACCCAAGATCACAATTAGTACACCCCAATAAATGTTTGGGAAAAAATTAATTAATATAAATATTCAGTTTTATAAAGACAAAAAAGGATAACCAGTATAAATATTCTGTAGCCTTTTTAATCATTTGCTTGAACAATTTCAGATGCATTTTTCACATCTGGGATACCATACTGTGTTCCTCAGGAACAAAATAAAATAAAATAAATGAATAAAAATAAGACAAATATATAATAACATTTTATAATAAAAAATAATAGAAAAATGAAAAACAATTCAAACAAAATCAAAACAGACAAAATAAAAGGTATTTCTCCCTTGAGAATCGATCCCATCAGCTTCAAGTTTCAATCCATTATTCATCACATCTGCAGTGCAATTCGGTACAAGCTCATGAGTGTAATGTCAAAGGACATTTGGAACAATAACCATTTCTGGTGTGGTGTTGAATTCACTTTAACATTCACAGTAAAATCTGCACAACGGTATTAAATCATACTTAATTCTCTTGGTTAGTGAAATCACACTCTGATCCACAGCAGCTCTGTATGATCTGTCTGAGTAAATGAGCTATTATTAACACAAACATGCATTATTATTATTATATTATCATAGATGACTGATGTGTGGCTTTCAGGAGCATCTTGAGTGTCGTGATGCTCCACACACACACAGCATTTCAACACTACACCAAGCAAACAAAGAGCCTTTATTATGAAGCTCTATAAACACTGAAGCTCACAGTGAGTCAATGGAGGGATTATAACATCAAATGAACTCAGAAACACACTGCTTCAAGACTCTACTGGAAGAGGCTTTCATTATTTCATTTTTTTTTTAAAGTTTAAATGGTGTATAAGTGAAAAAAAAAAAAAAAGTGTATATGAGAAAACAAATGCATACATAGGGGCCACCAATAATGAAATAAATAAACAAAAACGTTATTGCTGTCAAATGATTATTTAAACCACTTATCATAAAATGTGTGTATAAATAATTAGGGATGTAACGGTATCAGAATTTCACAGTACGGTAATACCTCGGTATGAATGGCACGGTACGGTATTTATTGAATAATTTACAGGAAAAACTAAACTAATGAAAATACTCCAAAAAAGTGCCAAAAGTGTTTATTTACCTTAGCACTGATGTTATGATTTATGTTTTTTTTTCACCCTCCTCTCCGTTTGCTCAACCCTAGGTTTCTTATTGGTTTATTATTCTGTCCATCATCATTATGACGCTCTCTGGTTCCACCAATCCCAGGACGAGCCGCAAGTATTTAAAGCCCTGTCAGTCCAGTGTGTGGTGTGCGCCCTGCCTCGGCGTACCCTTTGTGCTTCACGCAATTTGTTTGTGCAAATGCTTCGTCTATTTTGTGATCTCTCAGTTACTGTGATAATTCGAGTTGCTTGTTGAACTTTGTTGGCTTTAAGTAACATAATATGATGATGGTTGTGTGATTCTAAACTAAAATTTAGCGGACTTATCCGTTTTGTTTTGTTTTAGTTTAGATTGATGTTTTGTTAGATTAGTTTGAGTGTTTTGCCACCCGTGTATTTTTGAGTTTTGTAGTTTGATTAGTTTAGTTCGGGTGTCGTACACACTGAAGATCTCGGTTTTTATTTGTGTTTCTTTTTGACGCCTAGTTTAGACATTAGATTTAAGGATTGTTTTGTTTTGTTAATTTCTTTGATTTGGCTTACACTCGTTGTTTTTGTTTAAAGATAATAATTATAAATGTTTGTTTGTTTTTTTTCTCCCCCATTTATTATTGTTACATGTTTTAATTCAATTATAGAGTAAAAGCTTTAAATGAGAGTAACTGAATCTTGCCTCATTATTGATCTGTCGCACACTACACCTGTCTCACTTAAATGTTACAGCATCCCACTTTAACATCATAAAACACGTAACAACTGAACATATCAATGACATATAAATGAGCCATCTATCTGTAATTTTTAAAACAGGAACTTAAATTTTTCAATTTTACTAACAAAAAACTATTAAACCATAAAAAAAAAATAAAGTTTTAATTTAGTACTGTTGGAAACTCATCACATTCAACATTTAATCACGCACTCACTTAGATAGAGATGGGTTATTTAAGGAAAATTATCATATAAATATAATCTGGTAAAAGCTGGTATCTCTGGGTATTTACAATGTCCCCTGCAACAGAAAAAAACCCTCTCATTTGGGACTGAGGTTTCTGGGACAGAGAGATATGACTTAGCCAAGGTTGACAGCAGTGGGTAACGTTGTGCATTGTCTTTCCCCCACTTGAGAGGACAAACCATGAGTGAGATAGAGGTCTCTTTGCGGTACAAGTCAATGTCTGCATCAATCTGAACAGTGTGCTGTGTTCTGCAGTCCCCATGACTGTTTTTAGTCGTATTCCCCGACTTATATTTCACCACAGTCTGGCAGTGCCTGCACACTGTTTTTGTCTCTGTCACCTTTTCTCCTTCTTCGAATCTTTTTAGAAAGAAACCGAAATGCTTCCACACATCCGATTTAAAACCCGCTTTAGGTTCGATCGTTTCCAGCTCTTTTTCATCCCGCTACTAGCAGCACACTCCATTTCCACATTACTGGATCTGTAGCGACAACAGGCCGCAAAGGATGATGGCCACGCCTGGGCTGATGGGAATTGTAGTTCCCGCTACCTCCCGTTCGCTTCATTCGCCTGAGCAAACTTTTCTCAGAAATATAGTTTTGAGTCATGCGCCTACGGTAAAATTGAAAAAAATTACTATTGCAGTATGACGGTATTTACAATATTGTTACATCCCTATTAATAACTCCTATTCACACCGCTGCCAGATTCTGACTTGATTACTTTTATACAACCAGCAGCATTTGCTTTGTGCAGCTTTCATTTATAGGATAGAACTGGTCCGACCGGGTCCTCTGTTCTATCATTACTTAAAAGGCCCCGTGAAAATTATTATTATTATTATTTAATGTTAGTAAGAGTACTGTACATTTTAAGGAAATCTATAAGCTAGTGTGCTTCAAACCAAAGACAAAATTCATGCTTGGAAGATGTGTATCTGTTATAAATGTTTTTGGGGGTGATTTTCAGCCGGATGACCAAGAAACTTAAAATCACAGCAAATGACACCACGAAAAAGGAGCGATTGATCTTAATTCTCAACAATAATATCGGGCAGTCTGCAGAGAAACTTGGCTTTGGGCAGCAGTGGACATTTCAGCGCAACAATCACCCAAAACACACAGCGATAGTGGAAAAGAGATTGTCAGCAGATAAAAATGTCCACGTCTTTAGTGGCCCAGCCAGAGTCCTGATCAAAACCCAATTGAGATTCTGTGGAGGGAGCTTAAGATCAGGGTGATGAACAGTTGGAGCTCATGGCTAAAGATAAATGGAGGAGACATGCAAATAGCAGATCAACAATAACAGGAAGTGTTTGATAACTGTAAGAGAAAATAATGGCTTTTCGGTCACTCTTTATTTTGATGGTCTGTTTGTTGAAGTTAAGCTACACTGCATCTACATGCCAGCTAATTCTCATTAGATTATAAGTAGACTGTTAGGTTGGATTTAGGGTTAAGTCGACATGTACTTACAAAGTTTCTTATAGTCAGATGGAGCAGTATCAACAGATCATAAGCAGACAATCTACTAATACTCAACTGGACCATCAAAATAAAGCGTTACCGGCTTTTCCATCGATTATTGAGAAGAGTATGGATCATTTTGGACCTGCTACTTTTTGTTCAAAATGTAAACAAAAGCTAAAATAATATAATACAATATCTGTACACGATGCCTCTTCTACATCGTCTTATTGTGTTTTGGGAGAAGACGGTGTCATTTCTGTTCACGAAAAACAACAACTGTAAGTCAGAATGAATAATTACGGGCTTTACTAAACACACACACACACACACACACACACACAAACACACACACGCACACTACAATTAAACAACAAAGGCC